CCCTAAAGAATTAAAGTGCGAGAGAAAAATATAGATCCGAAAGTCGCAGAATAATGTGCACAGGTATTTAATTCTAACGAAAAAATTTAGTTTCGTTTAGAATAACGCACTGTCATCCGCGATTTGGCTCTTATTGCCTATCTTATATATGTTAAATTTATATTTATATATTACAGAGCCTAGTTAAACTCTTAATTTATACACGCTGGCTTAAAGGCGTTTATTTACCAACATTAATATATATAACAGAGAAAAGTATAGAATCGAAAGGATCTGAATAGCTCAGTTGGAAGAGCAGTCGCCCGGCAAGCGAAAGGTCTCGGGTTCGATTCCCGATTCTGCGACTTTCGGATCTATATTTTTCTCTCGCACTTTAATTCTTTAGGGGGAATAGGGGATACATGGAATTAAAAATCTCTTGTAGAGATTATTCCAATTTTATATCTTGGCCGTGTCCAAGTAAAAATTTGGTGCCTTGTGCACAGGTATTTAATTCTAACGAAAAAATTTAGTTTCGTTTAGAATAACGCACTGTCATCCGCGATTTGGCTCTTATTGCCTATCTTATATATGTTAAATTTATATTTATATATTACAGAGCCTAGTTAAACTCTTAATTTATACACGCTGGCTTAAAGGCGTTTATTTACCAACATTAATATATATAACAGAGAAAAGTATAGAATCGAAAGGATCTGAATAGCTCAGTTGGAAGAGCAGTCGCCCGGCAAGCGAAAGGTCTCGGGTTCGATTCCCGATTCTGCGACTTTCGGATCTATATTTTTCTCTCGCACTTTAATTCTTTAGGGGGAATAGGGGATACATGGAATTAAAAATCTCTTGTAGAGATTATTCCAATTTTATATCTTGGCCGTGTCCAAGTAAAAATTTGGTGCCTTGTGCACAGGTATTTAATTCTAACGAAAAAATTTAGTTTCGTTTAGAATAACGCACTGTCATCCGCGATTTGGCTCTTATTGCCTATCTTATATATGTTAAATTTATATTTATATATTACAGAGCCTAGTTAAACTCTTAATTTATACACGCTGGCTTAAAGGCGTTTATTTACCAACATTAATATATATAACAGAGAAAAGTATAGAATCGAAAGGATCTGAATAGCTCAGTTGGAAGAGCAGTCGCCCGGCAAGCGAAAGGTCTCGGGTTCGATTCCCGATTCTGCGACTTTCGGATCTATATTTTTCTCTCGCACTTTAATTCTTTAGGGGGAATAGGGGATACATGGAATTAAAAATCTCTTGTAGAGATTATTCCAATTTTATATCTTGGCCGTGTCCAAGTAAAAATTTGGTGCCTTGTGCACAGGTATTTAATTCTAACGAAAAAATTTAGTTTCGTTTAGAATAACGCACTGTCATCCGCGATTTGGCTCTTATTGCCTATCTTATATATGTTAAATTTATATTTATATATTACAGAGCCTAGTTAAACTCTTAATTTATACACGCTGGCTTAAAGGCGTTTATTTACCAACATTAATATATATAACAGAGAAAAGTATAGAATCGAAAGGATCTGAATAGCTCAGTTGGAAGAGCAGTCGCCCGGCAAGCGAAAGGTCTCGGGTTCGATTCCCGATTCTGCGACTTTCGGATCTATATTTTTCTCTCGCACTTTAATTCTTTAGGGGGAATAGGGGATACATGGAATTAAAAATCTCTTGTAGAGATTATTCCAATTTTATATCTTGGCCGTGTCCAAGTAAAAATTTGGTGCCTTGTGCACAGGTATTTAATTCTAACGAAAAAATTTAGTTTCGTTTAGAATAACGCACTGTCATCCGCGATTTGGCTCTTATTGCCTATCTTATATATGTTAAATTTATATTTATATATTACAGAGCCTAGTTAAACTCTTAATTTATACACGCTGGCTTAAAGGCGTTTATTTACCAACATTAATATATATAACAGAGAAAAGTATAGAATCGAAAGGATCTGAATAGCTCAGTTGGAAGAGCAGTCGCCCGGCAAGCGAAAGGTCTCGGGTTCGATTCCCGATTCTGCGACTTTCGGATCTATATTTTTCTCTCGCACTTTAATTCTTTAGGGGGAATAGGGGATACATGGAATTAAAAATCTCTTGTAGAGATTATTCCAATTTTATATCTTGGCCGTGTCCAAGTAAAAATTTGGTGCCTTGTGCACAGGTATTTAATTCTAACGAAAAAATTTAGTTTCGTTTAGAATAACGCACTGTCATCCGCGATTTGGCTCTTATTGCCTATCTTATATATGTTAAATTTATATTTATATATTACAGAGCCTAGTTAAACTCTTAATTTATACACGCTGGCTTAAAGGCGTTTATTTACCAACATTAATATATATAACAGAGAAAAGTATAGAATCGAAAGGATCTGAATAGCTCAGTTGGAAGAGCAGTCGCCCGGCAAGCGAAAGGTCTCGGGTTCGATTCCCGATTCTGCGACTTTCGGATCTATATTTTTCTCTCGCACTTTAATTCTTTAGGGGGAATAGGGGATACATGGAATTAAAAATCTCTTGTAGAGATTATTCCAATTTTATATCTTGGCCGTGTCCAAGTAAAAATTTGGTGCCTTGTGCACAGGTATTTAATTCTAACGAAAAAATTTAGTTTCGTTTAGAATAACGCACTGTCATCCGCGATTTGGCTCTTATTGCCTATCTTATATATGTTAAATTTATATTTATATATTACAGAGCCTAGTTAAACTCTTAATTTATACACGCTGGCTTAAAGGCGTTTATTTACCAACATTAATATATATAACAGAGAAAAGTATAGAATCGAAAGGATCTGAATAGCTCAGTTGGAAGAGCAGTCGCCCGACAAGCGAAAGGTCTCGGGTTCGATTCCCGATTCTGCGACTTTCGGATCTATATTTTTCTCTCGCACTTTAATTCTTTAGGGGGAATAGGGGATACATGGAATTAAAAATCTCTTGTAGAGATTATTCCAATTTTATATCTTGGCCGTGTCCAAGTAAAAATTTGGTGCCTTGTGCACAGGTATTTAATTCTAACGAAAAAATTTAGTTTCGTTTAGAATAACGCACTGTCATCCGCGATTTGGCTCTTATTGCCTATCTTATATATGTTAAATTTATATTTATATATTACAGAGCCTAGTTAAACTCATATTTATATTCATTTTTATTGTACGATTTGTTTTATGTCCTTCTCTCACTCTCTTTTTTGCAAAATCCTATTTTATTCTACAGGTTTGCGAACCACTATAATTGCGGATACTTTCAATTTACAAATTTATTAGCTTGAACTGATTAATACGTCGATAATCGTTTACAAGTCACGTTATCGTCGCTATTAATTCTCACTGAGTAAATTATGAATCCTGCTTTGCGGCAACATACATGTCGGCGTCATGGAATGCAAATGCATATTCCACTCTCCGCGCATATTGCAGAATGGAATATGAGAAAGAGAAAATCTTAAATTTAACTTTAAAGCCTTTTAGATTCTCAATTACCTTTCACAAACGCTTAAGAAAAAAATGTATTCCTCAAATTAGAAAAAATGTGTAACGAAAGTTCATTCAATGAAACTTTATTCCATTCCCACACTGTGGGACTCATGAAATATTTCGAGAGTGATGTGTTAGTTCGTGAACGAGAATAAATACGGGCGGATGATAGCGAATCTCCGAATGCAATCTACCAACATCGACCGCGTTCGCACATCCGTTGTTCCGGACACGAAGGGAGAGATCCAGCGCGTTTAATTACGGGGGAACAGGAGTGGAAGAGAGAGAAAAAGAGTTCCATGTCCGACGCAGTAAATTATTCCTTTTCGAAGTGGCGATTATAAAGCGATTATCGACAAGGATCGCTCCCGCAGACGTGTATACGTATATATACATACAGTCGTACCACGGCGATTTTCTCGACCGTCGGGATCCCAAAGTCCCGACGATGCCTTCGCGAAAAACAATTTGCGGCGCGAAGACACCCCTTTTGCGCGCAACCCCGGTAATTACGGCCGGTCATTGCGATAATGTCGTGTGCTTAAGCATTACCACGACGCGAGTCCGTGCCCAACGGCGAAAATTATTCAGTTTTTCGTACGCGAAAGTATACTGCCTCATCTAAAGTAATACGCTGCACTCTGCGCGAGAAATTACCACAGCAACACGCAGAAAACAAACAATATCGAATTTCTTCGATATGTTATCGAGTATTAAGATTATTAAGATAAAGCGATGTATAATGTTGAAAAACAAAGCATTTTGCATATAATTTTCCCTTGTGTCTTCTTGCATTAGAACGAGGCGTCATATTGCTATATCTTTAATCTTGATGTCTTTTGGTTTTTATAGCACACGCGATCGGTAGTCGGCAATTAGTAGCCATATGGCAAAGAATTTTGTAGGGATTCGCAGGTTGCTGGAACAGGCGAGAGAAAAGCAGAACGATTCTTGTATTAGACAGTATAATTTATTTCACTATATCGCTAGAGAACACGAACTGAGTCATTTGATGATCGTACAATTCTATGGCTCTGCACGTCAAGTAAAATCACAATTTGCTATTTACAGGATTATTTACAAGCGAAATCCCTGCGCCATAATCGAGCGAGTAGTAAAATATGTTTCCTGTACGTGAAACTGTTTTTACACGCAACATATGTATATATATATGAAATAATGTACATAAGATTTATAAAATCGATAAGCGCGAATTTTCCGATCGAGTTAGAATCTAAAACCCAATCAAATGCGCTGCTTGATAATATTAAAATATTGAGAGAATCTATCGATGCGTTAATATTACGATTATATTAAAGTAATATTAAATTATCGAGAGAAAAGAAATAATTATACTAATATATTAGTATATTAATATATTATATATATAATATTATATATAATATATAATGTAAATAATACATATTTATGTATATATAATATATTATGCATATATGTATATATATAATACATTAGTATATTAATATATTAGTATATTAATATATTGACCTATATGTCAATATATTAATATTACAATTTCGAGATTAAAATTTCATCTATTTTACAATTGCGAAAGCTCCATTATGGCGCATAAGAGATCCCGGATCTAACTAACATTAGCAATAATAATTTAAATCGTCAGTACATACCTCGAAACATCGATCGACGAAAGGAATACTGCTCGCTGTATAGAACAACGACTTAAATACAATTGCAAATACAATTTCGTTTACATTGGGATCTTTCGCTAAGGGTACGAAGATTTGGCACTCACTTTAAAGTTTCGTTTTTACTTACGTTTCTGCGCACATGCACATATATGCATCCGATGCATTTCATATGTCTTCTTATCTATTTACACTTGCGTCTGTAAAAAAAAACGAGAAGTGTCAGGATGCTTTTACAAAAGATCCGTGATCTATTCTCTCGTTATATTATTATTTACACCGTTCGACGAAGGATAATCTTTATGGCGAATTTTTTATGGCAAGATAAGGGTGATAAACGAAACATATTAGTGGCGATCGGCCTACAAATAGACGAATCGCGAACGATCGAGTTTCATTTTAAATAATCTTTACAATTTCAACAACCATGAAACTTGTGTTTAATTATTGCAAGCAACTCTCTGATTGTCTGAATTAAAAATTCAATTTAAAAAAAATTAAAAATCCCTAATTAAAATCTGCAGGACTCTACGGAATTCGGAACCAGTCCAAAAAGAATCGCCCAAAGTTGATACGCCGATCATTCTCGATACATCCACCATCCGCCGCTTTCCGCCGGAAGCGCGTCCATTTAGTTTCGTCTCTCGCAGACAATGGCTCCATTAGCCGATTTCCGATAGACTTCTTCGATTTCTCCGTCGCTTTTTCCGATTCGTTGTAAGGTAGTCTGGCCTGTGAACGTCTTATCCTAATCTCGGGGATATAGTTACGGATTGTTCACGACCGTTCCCTTCGGCAACGACGCCAGAATGGAGATGCTAAGGAACCATGTCGTGATTTCGGTCAAGAGATGAAAGAAAAGAAGAAGAAGACAGTCTTGTTTTTCGGCGTCGCCTATCGACGGTAAACATGCAATACTAGATTCCCATTATCGATCTTATTCCCTTCCTCGTATTGTGTGTGAAATTCTAACGTTCAATTGCAAAGGAATGAAAATGACTTTATTTTTCAAACCATATACAAAATTTTTATATATTTTTTCATTTTACAAATATTTGATCGAAATTGCAAAAAAATCGATGATGAGACCATAATACTGCGTATTTAGCTTGTCGAGTAATTTGACAACAGAACTCGCGGCTGTTTCGCTAACAGAGAGACTCTTCTGGACTTTTGTGGAACTTTTGCGGAACTTCCGTCAATCATTTAATTCGTTTATCTCGCCGGTCAGCCTCCATCAGTATCAAAGTATGATGAGTATAGTTGCTTTTAGACGATTTCCAAGATCTTCCACTGCCGATTTTCGTTCTTTGAGATCATACTCGGTTTCAATCAAGTAATAAACAGGGGCATATGTAATGGAGGGTGGCACAAGGCTTTTTGTAGAAATTAATTAGTAATTTTGGTAGAAGACCCAAGCGAGATCGCGCTGCGATCTATCTCCAATGAATGTTCCGCTCGTGGGAATTCATTCACTACCATTAACCTCCTGGCCCCGAGAACGTTAACAGAATCGCATCGCAACGCCGACATAGCCCTGTTCGAAATGAAGCCCGATTCTCCGATACGTAACCGGAACTCGAAGAAACCTGATTTAGAGGAGATCCAAGTCGGCTAGCTCCTACCTCGATCGGATTCTGACTTGGAGTCTACTCAAGATACTCCCGCTCGATCCTGGATTTTAATCCAGGCAGAGAACGTCTAGCTACGCTTCGGAACTGCTCGAGCACTCTTCGGCTTCCGGGTCGATGTGCTCTTCCTCATCCTCCTCGTCGTGTTGATAGTGATCGCCGGTCTCCTGCTGCCATTTGCTAACGTGATGGGTGTTTTTGTTGTTGCTGTTGCTATTAGTATTGCCGTTACCCGCGCCTCCACCGCCACCGCCTGATTGTTGTTGGGCCTTGGCCTCTTCCTCCTGCTGCATCCGCTTGTGCTTCGTTCTGCGATTTTGGAACCACACTTTTACCTGAAACATCAATCATTTTTCGCCGCTGTTAACTTCACGGAAATTTTACGTGAATTAATAACGTGAAATAATAATTTTAACAATTGTTTGTTGAACTTTGTTTTTCAATTTTGAATCATAGAAAAGAACTATATCTTGAATGAAAAAAATTATTTCTTTACTTAATTGAGCCTCGTTCGAGCTATGCATATAATTATTCATAAAAATCATTATATTTTCGATATAAAATGATGAATTTAATAAAGAACGTTGATCTCGTAATTGTTAAAAGTGAATTTTTGATTACATGTATATTTCTGGATTTTTCAATTCACGATAAGCGGAGAAACACTACTAACGAGTCAAGAATCTCCGATCTTTCTCTAAACTCGAAGAGAAACGCGCCGCGGAAGATAATTTTTCGAAGAGCGATGAGAGGTAGAAGATACGCGACGTTCAATGAGAGGTAATTCAAGCGTAGCCGTCCCCAGCGAATACCGACGTATCCGCCAATCGATCTCGGCGGGCCAATCCCCGACAGACAGGGGGCGAATCGAATCCCTCTTGCCAGGCTTGCCAAATTAAGTGGCAACTAGTTATAAGCCTGGCTCGCTCGGCCGATGTATCATGGAGTCACCCCTAAACAGGAGTATCCGGTTACAATAGTACGTGTCGCTGGCGTGGAAGAAAACGGGGGATGAAACTCACTCGGGGAGGAGACCTCGATCGGGCATTGTCCTCGAATTGACTGTTAGATATATGTATACGCGTCGCTCTCGTGAGAAAAGGGTTGAATGGAGGATCCATTTTGAAGCTATCTACGCGGAAAATCAGCATTGTGACGCGAGAGGACACACACGCGCGGTAAAAGGGGATGTTTGTCTAACGTCTCGGGTGGCTGTGCGGTTTTGACAAGACTCGGATTATTCTTCCGACACGATGAGCGAAACGAAATGAATGATTTTACGGTGTCGAATCCATTTATAATGAAAATCACGATGCGAATAAATAATATAGATTTATTGCGTTATTACAAATTTATTTTGTTGCCATATAATATTTTTTTGGTATATGTATTGCTTCAGCATCGAAGGAGAATAGTCGCAATGTTTTAGAATTATAAATCAATTTCTTTTACATAGTCAGATTGTAAACTCTTCACCTAACGCGGTATATTAATTTTTATAAGATCTGATTAAATCAAATTAAAATGTTAAGTAAGCAATTTGTATAGTAAAATTGTAAATAAAATATTTATTGTTATTATATCTTTTTTGAATTGTTCACAGAAAAAAAGGAATCCTTGATTCAAATATATTTTTATTCTTGAACGCTATTTGATTGATTTAAGCATAGAATGCTCTTTGTAATCACAAATTTTCATTTGCCTTAATAATAAATAAGTTTGTGTGAAGTATATTTTATCCTTAAGATATATTCTTGTTTTAAAAATCGCATATGGTAAAAACAAACTTAGTTACATTTGAACTAAGAATTATTATATATACTTGAAAGTACCGCTTATATTCGATGATGCTCACTTGTCACTTGTCCTTGCAATATTTATAAGTAAATTTCAGCTTCAACGAAGAATATTTTGCACTTTGTTTTAAGGATAAATTATCCTTTATCGAAAATTATTTATATTTGGCGCTGTTATAAGGATAAAATATACTTGAATCAAGGCATATTTGCATTCTTTCAAGGATACAATTTTTTTTCTGTGTTCTAAACAATTTAAATGACAGCCGAAAACAGAATATTATTTCGCCTTTAATCCAGGATTAAATGTATATATCTCACCCCTCGGAACTATCTCAAGGTTGTTGTTCAGGCCGCTGGCCAATCGAGATGCAGAAAAGCAGGGACAAACTCGTTGCTGCGTGCCCGGGAGAACCACATTGGGGTCGCGGCACTTAACGGGTGATTAAGAGGGCAAATAGAGAGAGCAACCCCTTTCGAGCGGAGCGTACTTTCGGGCCTATTCTGTCCCTCCTCGCTCGCGAAAGCCATATCCCGTGTCCCCGGATGTCGCCGCCGGGAGCGGCGTCACGTGCTTAATCGAGTTACCCCCGTTTCGTAATCGTCTCCCGTCGACCCCCGGGGTTGCCATGGCGATCGCGGGCGGTCCTGAAGCTCGATTGGCGGATCCGCACGCACGCGGAAACCCGGGCATCCCCTACTGCGCGCTGCATCCCCCAGGATGAGCCAGACGCTTCATCCCCGTCGAGCGACTCCTCTCTCTCCTTCTTTCTGCTCGGTACCTGAACTTACACTCAGTTTAACCGCCCCTCGTTCCCCTCGTAACCTTCTCCACGTACCCTCCATCGACGCCGCAGTATTTCACGAACGCGCATGTTGTAAAAATCCTATAAAAGCTTCCAACACGTTCGTCGATTTATTCCCTGATATATTACCCCGCGGAGTTTAATGCACGACGGTAACGCGCGATTGGGAATTCGCCCTCGTCGGAGAGAAACAGGAGGGGAAAAGGATAAGCAGAGATCGACGGAGAAAATGATCCGACGTCGACGTCAGCTGGATTTTTCGCACCCGGCGCGCGCGCGCGCGTTTTATCTCCTCGATCGAGAACCACGTAAAACTTAATTCACCGTTAATGGATGGACTCTGCGAACGGCGAGTCGAGCACACATATTTCACAGAACTTTATTTACAATGGCCGACGTTGTCGTTGAAATATTCCCTCGAAGGAATAAGAAAAAAAGAAACGCCTATACTTTTTTCACAAAATCGTATAATGTTGGATTTCATATTTTCTTGCTAACGATCAAATAAAATTTCTTATATTTTATTCTTTAATCGTTATCCCTCGCTGATTGGCTATTTTTGCGGATCTTTCTACATATTGGCAGGATTATATATATATATATATATTTTTTTTTTTTTTACATATATTCTCTCTGTATTTTGTAGCACATTTTTATATTTCATCCCTCGAAAATGACACGAATTCTCAAACTGACGCAGTTTGTTTGTACAACTGTTATAGGTATGCGCTTCACGTGTAAGGTGTTCACCTGTCACTTAAGTACGTTATTCCGGGAGCACACAGCTTTAATTACGCATGTGGATGGAGAATGTGCTCGGCCTTTATACATGAACCGGCCAGGTGAGTGAAGGCTTATTTAACGATTTTAGATAAATGCAATTAGTATTTATTGTGTTGTATATAAACGGCATTCGATCAATTTTAAACGTCTAAACTATTTTCTCTTTAAACTTGTACAAGAGAGAGAGAGAAAAATATTTTTATTATAATTCAATTCTTTTTAAAGAAAATTTAATTTCTTCATTATACATAAATTACAAATTACTTTGATACGCACCGCATCAGTATTAAAATTTTAATTATGATAATAGACTGAGAGAGACATTTAAATAAGAATTATGAGTGGATGAAACGTCATGCTAAAATCAAACATTTAACTGGAAATGAGTGATTCGTACATCTTTCCGCGTTAAAAATGAGTTTCAACTCTGCGTCTATCGAGGAGAATATTAGACTTGGAATAAAATTCTACAAATAGAATCTTCCAATCTTAGCGCAGCAAACGTCAGAAGTATGATGCATTGCAGGTGCATTATGCATACGAATGCACGTAACTGATCGTGAATCATCAGGAACGTTTCCATCGACGTCGCAAATATATTTCGCGTTTTATACGTATTATTTTCGAAGTTACCGATGGAAAACTCATGCAAATCGTTTGTCTATTGACGCAAATTATGCCCTCTCAGTGTTTCACTATATATACATATAAGCTCTCGCTAGACGTTCGTCTCGAGGAAATGACTCGAAGCTCAGGACCGGTTATACGCGCATACACAACGCACGCAAAATAATTAATGCAACGATGACAACGACGTAATCAAAACGACGAATGTCGTTGGACTCATCAAGGACAAAAAGTGACACGCGAGTCGTATATACATCTGTGCGAGCTAATCTAGCTGCCTCCATCTTTGCGATATAACATATACGAAAGCTCACGTCGTGTCACGGCACGCATCGATAATCACGGATTTAATTAATCCGGATTATTAATTGATATTCTAATTACGCGGCCCAGACCGCGCGCGCGTCCGGTGATCGAGACGTATCGCGTTACATCGCGCTGCACAAATGAATCGCAGTTGGAAACGGAGAAGGAAAGAGAGGCCTAATCTATCGAGGCCTTTATGTGCCCCGTTAAATATAATTACGTTTATTGCGGTCGCGCTCGCCGATTGGCCGCTCTTACTCCCGCGATAAATTGGATATTCGCTAATGGAAATTAATGTCGCTCTTGGCTCCGCGTTTCCCAGCTACGTTAGATTTTCGATAAGGGTTCTCTGACTCTTTTGTAAAAAATGCAGAAAAATATCTAATGGGTTTCGAAATAAATTCTGACGATTAGGTCTAAATAGATGCGTGATGAATATACATATATGATAAAGATCATGGGCGTTCACAGGATTTTTTCCAAGGGTGAAGTGTGATTAATATTTGTTTTGTTTCTTACTTTTTGTTCTTTCTTAATTAAAACAATTTTTTGATATTAAATATGCAAATAAGTTCCGGTATTTATTCAAAAAGAGAGCAAATGCTTAATTTTTTTACTCATTCCAAGAGAGAATGAAAATCCTGGGGAGTATATTAATTTTATGAAAAAAATTGATATTTTTTTTTATTTGAATCAATATCACTTTGAATTATAACACTTTTCTTAGAAGAATTATAAATCTTTCTTTGCTCAATCTTTTGCACAAATTATGTGCAAAGATGTCTCTTGGTAAAAATAACGTATGTATTTCAAAAAATATCAAAAGCGATTAGATCGAAGCCAGAAGAAAATGAAATAAATTACATTTAAGCTAAATTAAAATAAGAAAAAATCCAAAGTTTGATTTAAAATGTTATAAGTAAAGAGCATTCGTCCCTTATTCGCTCGGTTCTTCGTTTATTATCCGTCTATTTAATTACCTACCACCATGTGCCGTACGCGTATTCGATTTCAATCAGCGCTTTTTTATCCGTCCGGGTGCGCTTTACAAATCCGGCCGCGCCGGCGATTTATAATTGGCGAAGCCGTGCCGTGCCAAACGGCAGCCTCGACAACACACAACGTGTGCAGAGTGATTTTTTTCGTCGTGCCCGCTTTTTTTTTTTTTTTTTTTTTTTTTGTCCACCGACAGAGAAAAAGAGAGGGAACATCGCCTGTAATATGTACACGAGCGAGCCCCCTCAAATAAAATCTCCAGCTGGATAGTAACCAATCGTTGGGCGCTAGTCACCCTTCCTCCCCCCTCCACCACCCCCCTAATCCCCCGGGGGCTCGACGGTCACGCTCGAAACATTATTTTTAATCCCCCGTACGGTCGCGACAATCCGCGACCCTCTGCTATTGCGCGAGACACGCCGGGCTAAATAAACCCGGCGATATTATTTTTCAATCGTCGCGAGCGTACACATCGCGCGAGAAAAGGAGAGAGAGAGAGAGGCAGACGACGGGCCTGGATTTCACGGCTGGAAAATACAAAAACGTGCGCACGCGCGCACGAAAAAGCCGGCGCGAATACGTGGGTGTGGATTACAGGATGAAGAGAGGCGCGTGTTTTGTTAGGACGAAATTGAGCGTGATCTCTCGCGCGTGGGGACGCCAATTTCCTCCGATATACGTTTCTGTGTCTCCGCCATATTCGTAGAGTTTTCTTTTTTTTTTAGTCAGTCTCTTGATAGACAACCCCTGTTGTGTTTAAGCTTTTCGGGGATAATCGTCGACTGTGACGAGTATATAGAAATGGAAGTTGAAAAGAGCTCGACAATCGCACTTTATTGGGGAAAGTGACTGTCGTGTCAAATTCATCCGATGACCGATATACGACACGCGACATCCAGCAGAATTTATCTTCCAGAGACTAGCTAGTGACATCTTCATTCTGTAGAGTCAAAAAAAAATATATTTTCGTGTCGAGCGCAATTGGATGTCCAGTTGTCCTTGAAATCCTTAATTTAAGCCCTTAAAATGTTCTGGAATTTTGTTTGTTCTTTAAAAATCCTGGAAATGCACTTAAATTTTTCGTAGATCCTTGATTTCTTTGCTCGCTTCGAATCATCCAACTAAAAGTCAGTTGAGACTATTCGAGTAAAAAAATATTTATCTTACTTTGTAAATAATACAATATATTTTTTATTTAGGAGTCCAAAAATATATGTGTTACGCATAAATAAGTTATTTATAGATTTTAATATTTTCAATGCATTATATTAATTTTCATTAATATGCAATTATAGGGACTTGATAAAAAAATTAAATTTTCAGTTTCTTGTTTATTTTCATGATATACTATTGGAAAATCGTGCAAATTTCCTTGAAATATTCTGAAAATGTTCTCAAATTTGATTTTCAAATTTTACCAGACACCCTGATTAAAATAAATTAGCGAAAATGCTCGACGCGTAATATATTTATATTATAATATTTGAGACAGAATTAATGAATTCTACAATTGTAATAACGATCGAGCGATTTTCCATCGACTTCCCCGAGTCGATGATACGCACATGAAATTGACAACACGTACACGACATGACGGGATCGTGACGAGAAACTCAAGGAAGCCTCTATCCAACTCCGAGAGGTGACAAGAGCGAGAGAATCGATACCTACCTATCGTTTTACACCGATCATTCGAATCGGTATTATTCGCGTTTGCACGTTTCGGAATCCTTTGAACATCCTTTGAAGATGTCGCCGCGCGGCGAATTTAAGTTGCAAATTTCCACGGTTGCATGTTTTTCTCGAGAAGCGCATAAACTATTAGAATTTCCATCGCACGCAAGTATTTATTTGTATAATCACTGTTTCGCTAACACTTAATTAAATGAAAACACGCTTGGGATAATTTTATTAACAATTTACGATGCAGAGAGAAAATGAGATAATCGCCGCGCGAGAAATAGGACTTGCATTTGATGAAAAAGGTTCGAATATCGAGGTCGTTAGAGCTCCACCATCGCGCTTAGGTACTACCATTAATTACTTTCCGCATGATTACCATTAATTTACGATACGAGCGCGTTCAACAAAGTTGTAAAAGGAAACTATCGCCGCGTGTCTGCTCGGATAATAAAATAATATCGGCATATAAATAAAACGCAGATTTCCCATCGTCATCCTCTTATTACCATTAAATTGAACGTCAGCTTTGCGTCGATATATTACAAGTTTCACGATCTAAATATCGTTTGAGGCGTCGATATCAGATCGGAGCAGGCGGATACTCGACTCGGGAGATGATGAAAGGAAGAGAGAGATCGTTCATAATTCGTGGAAATTAATTGATTAAATATCCAGACGACCGTGAAATACGACCGAGCGCAATTAGGCGAGCGATAAGTCCATGCCATGAGAGGCACACGCTGTCGCAACATCGCGTCTCTTTAGAGGTTAAATTAATGGGACCTTAAATTTTCCTATTTTAATTAGCCATTGTTCGTCCCAATAAGCCCCGGCGATGTAACAGGCGTTAAAAATGGGATAAGCGCGATATTGTTAGCGGTAATTTTATTCTCTCTCTCGAGAGAGAGAGAAAAGACGATAAGGCAAGTAAGTGCGGCCGGGCTCGAGCACTCTCTGATTCGATTTAAATAGGCTGTCGATAGTATCGATTAAACGCGGCACGCCGATTACGGCTGATAATGTTTGTTTGCGCTATCTCGACACAGCGCCGACAGGCGAGAGAGAGAGAAAAAGAGAGGGATCGTGCGATTCTGCATCTGACAAGCTCCACATCGAATTGTGACAGTGTCTCGAACGCTTGAAATTATCATCGCGTTCCAGTCGTGTCGCGAATGCAGAGCTATATATGCATCGTTGCAATTCCATCGATAATGACAATTTGTAAGCTAAATAACTCGTCACGATCGCACGGGTAGAATCCATTTTTTATTCAATCCTCAGTAGCGAAGAGATTGATAAGTGCGACGTATTCGAATAAATAATATCAATGCAATTTAAACACGAGAACATTCTCTTCCTTTTACTTATCATTTAATTTGATTATTTTGTCTCTTGTATGACGCGAAATATGATTTAACATTCTACACGAGTTTCCGTATGTTAATTC